ATAAGGGGCATGTTCTCCTACCTCCTCATTACTGAAGAGAGAAAAATGGACAATGAAAGGCAAAACGAGACCTGGAAAGGACAAGTGACTACTGAGAATCGCCAAAGAAACTAGCAGTAGAATTAGAACAAGAATACAGGTCTTGTCTACCAGATCTGTTCTCATTCTACCATAACGTTCCTCTATGTCTCAGCCATCTGCTTGTGGGCTAACTTAAAACAATTAATTACAGTACTTAGGATTATTAAGTACTGTGATCATTTACTTCCAGCTCCCAGTCAACAAGCTGTGATGTATTTTCAGTTCCATTTTGCACATAAGGTAATTGGGATCAGGTGATATGTCAAATACTAAACATCTGGTTGGTTTTGAAAGAAAGACCGTAAGTCAGATCTCCTTTTTCTGCTGCAGTATGTTGTCTTTCAAAATAACTATGCCCCTAACTGGGCTTGAACCACCAACATAGCAATTAAAAGCAAAACATATAAATAATTGTAAAGAGATTTTGGTTAAAGCTCACATTACAGGAGATGTTCAACTTCATACTCTCTTAGAGCCACTCCCCTCATTCTTTTAAATTCTGTTGGTTACTGTGATATTGCTAAATAAATTGTTCAATTTCTCATTTCTTAATTCATTAGCAATAAAATATATTTTCAACTTCCTGGTACTGAAGGTGGGAATGTAAGTCACATTCTTTCATTTCTCTTTAGCCCATTCTCCAGGCAATTTAAAAATTATTAGTTAAATGCTTCCATCATTCCCATTGTAACTGTAAATAATATATTTAAACCTCTAGTACTTGTTCCAGCAATTACAGATGGTATGACTCCAGTGGTGTCTCGGCTATATTAAGATGATGTTAATACACTTACTCTTTTCTTCCTGTCTCCTCTTTAGCCCCTTCATCATATCTATAATTACCTGTTGCATCTCTGTGCTTCAGCGAGATAGGCCATCATTGACTGTATTGTTTTTATCTAGTTTTGATATCAAAATATGCTAATCTGATAAAAGTTAGTTGGAAAGTCTCTCCTCCTTTTCTCTTCTCTGGAAGAGTATATGAAAGATTGAAATTATTTTTTCCTTGAATATTTGGTAGAATTCAACTATAAAATTATCTGGGTTTATTGCTTTTTTGTAAAAAAAAATCTGATTTCTTTTATTGAAAAACCTGTTCTGGTTTACATGCTCAACTGAAGGTGAATATCCAGACCTCACACACTGGTCTCCTGGAACAGCTTTTCCTGGGGAGACTTCACAGTAGCTAACCTGAGTTTCCACCATTGTTCTATGTAGTCTGGAGCAGTATACAGGATCTTGCAAGGCTATACATCAAATTTCCATACGAGAAACCCTGGTCCCTAGGCTTCAAAGTTTTTAAGTTGCATGATTAGGGAAGAACCAGCCTCCTTGGTGAAAGCACAGAAGAGTCTATAACAGCAAAAAGATATGGTAGCTTCTTCAACATTCATGGTCTGGAAGAGGTGTGATCAAGAGCTGGCATTCAAGCCCTGAAATTACAGCAGTGTGATCAAGCGGAACCTTTGTGCCCTGTACTTTATGACCACCTTAGCTTTTAAAGATTGGGGAGCACCAACTTTTTCCCTGGTCGGAATCCCAAAACTTGTGATTCAGCTACATGATATGATGAACCAGCATCCCGATCTACTCTGTCAGCATTCTTCCAGAACTGATTATATTAAGCACAAGGCTCTGACCAGTTTTCATGGAATTTTCCTTGAGACCAGACTCCTTTTCTGGGAAAGCCAGGCCGTAGGAAATGAGTCTTGGACAAGTTGACCCTTACCTCTTAGGTTTTCTGTTTTTCTTAAATCACTTTTTCTAAATAGCTTTTTTAAAAGGAATTTACTTCATTGAGCTTATCAAATTTCTTAGGACAAAATTTTCATACTATTCACATTACTTTTTTTTTTTTCTTTGGTACGCGGGCCTCTCACTGCTGTGGCCTCTCCCACTGCGGAGCACAGGCTCCAGACGCGCAGGCTCAGCGGCCATGGTCCACGGGCCCAGCCGCTCCGCGGCATGTGGGATCCTCCCGGACCGGGGCACGAACCCGCGTCCCCTGCATCGGCAGGCGGACTCTCAACCACTGCGCCACCAGGGAAGCCCTTCACATTACTTTTTAAATTTCTCCTTTTAAGAAAATTAATTTGCCAATTATTTATTTTATGTTTTTCAAAGAAGCAGATTTTTAACTTTGTTTTTCTATTACTGTAGCTTGTTTTTACATTCACTGATTTCATTTACCTAACAAATGTTGACTGAGTTCCAACTATTGGCTAAGCATTCTTCTAGGTACTGGGAAAAAATAGTTTAAAAATCCCTCATGTAGGGCTTCCCTGGTGGCGCAGTGGTTGAGAATCTGCCTGCTAATGCAAGGGACACGGGTTCGAGCCCTGGTCTGGGAGGATCCCACATGCCGCGGAGCAACTAGGCCTGTGAGCCACAACTACTGAGCCTGCGCGTCTGGAGCCTGTGCTCGGCAACAAGAGAGGCCGCAACAGTGAGAGGCCTGCGCACCGCGATGAAGAGTGGCCCCCACTCGCCACAACTAGAGAAAGCCCTCGCACAGAAGCGAAGACCCAGCACAGTCAAAAATAAATTAATTAATTAATAAACTCCTACCCCCAACATCTTCTTTAAAAAAAGACAAAGAAAAAAAAAGCCCTCATGTGATCAAATATGCCATTCTAATGTAAATGACACAAACATGTAAGGTATATTCTGTGTTAAATGGGATATACTCAATGGAGAAAAATATATCAGAGTAGAGGAGTTAAGAAGAATGAGAATAGAGGTGTAATTTTGTAAAAGGGAGTCAAGAAAGGCCTCATAGAGAAGATCACATTGGGGAAAGACATGAATAAGAGCAGGAAATGAACCATGTTTCTCTCAGAAAAGCGTTGTATGTGGAAGTGTCAGCATGCTCCTGGTGTGAGAGCAATGTTTGGTGTTTCTGAGGTTCAGCAGAATCCTTGTGTGACTGGTGTGGAGGAAGCAAAAGAGAAAGAAGGGAATGAGAGGGAGATGTTTGCTCTTACTTCATTATTCCTTTTCTTCTACTTTCTTTGGATTTAGTTTGATGATACTTTTTCTAATTTCTTTTTTGGGCCTCTCACTGTTGTGGCCTCTCCCATTGCGGAGCACAGGCTCCGGACGCACAGGCTCAGCGGTCATGGCTCACGGGCCCAGCCACTCCGCGGCATGTGGGATCCTCCCGGACGGGGGCACAAACTTGCGTCCGCTGCATCGGCAGGCAGACTCTCAACCACTGCGCCACCAGGGAAGCCCTAGTTTTTCTAATTTCTTGAGTTGAAAACTTTGCACAATAATTTTAGGTTTTCGTCTTTACTAATATAAGTATTTGGGACTACACATTTTCCTCAAAATACATGACTTTTGCTACATTAGTTGCATTTTATATTTTATGCTTATTATTTTGTTGCAGTAATAGTCCAATGTCATTCTGACAGGTGTGAGGTGATATCTCATTGTGGTTTTGATTTGAATTTCTCTGATGATTAGCAGTGTTGAGCATCTTTTCATGAGCCTGTTGGCCATCTATATGTCTTCTTTTGCAAGGTTTTTATTCAGGTCTTCTGCCTGTTTTTAAATCAAGTTGTTTGTTTTTTGAAACTGAGTTGTATGAGCTGTTTATGTATTTGGGGTATTAACCCCTTTTTGGACATACCATTTGCAAATATTTTCTCCCATTCAGAAGGCTGTCTTTTCATTTTGTCAATGGTCTCTTTTAATGTACAAGTGTTTTCAAGTTTAATTAGGGCCCATTTGATTATTTTTGCTTTTGTTTTCTTTGCCTGAGGAGACAGATCCAAGAAAATATTGCTAAGACTTAAGTCAGAGAGTGTTCTGGCTATGTTTTCTTTTAAGAGTTTTATAGTTTTTGGTCTTTGATTTAGGTCTTTAATCCATTTTTAGTCTCTTTTTATATATAAAGTGAGAAAATGTTCTAATTTCATTCTTTTACATGTAGCTGTCCAGTTTTCCCAGCACTGCTTATTGAGGACACTGTCTTTTCCCCATTTTATATTTTGCCTCTTCTGTCATAGCTTAATGGACCATATGTGCATGGGTTTATTTCTGGGCTCTCTATTCTGTTCCATTGATCTCTGCATCTGTTTTTGTGCCAGTACCATACTGGTTTTCTTTTTTTAACTTTTTGTTTTATATTGGAGTATAGTTGATTAACAATGTTATATTAGTTTCAGTTGTACAGCAAAGTGATTCAGTTATACATATACCTGTAACTATTCTTTTTCAAATTCTTTTCCCATTTAGGTTGTTACATAATATTGAGCAGAATTTCCTGTGCTGTACATTAGGTCCTTGTTAGTTAACCATTTTAAATATAGCAGTGTGTACATGTCAATCCCAAAGTACCATACTGTTTTGATTACTGTAGCTTTGTAGTATAGTCTGAAGTCAGGGAGCCTGATTGGCTCTTATTTTTGAAATTAAGCTTCCATGAATTTAAACTTGCTGCCATTACATGATTGCTATTTCAATCTCTATGGCTGACTGGGAGTTCATGGAGACTAGAGCATCATCTTAATCACCTTGTTTCCAGAGTAAAATAAGATACCTAATGTATAGTAGATCCTCAAAATAGATATTTGTTGGGTGAGTAGAGTTTATTATTGTCACCGTTGTTCTATTTATTGATTTTCTAGATTGCATTCTCTTTTTTTCTCTTGGTTATTTGTTTTTCTATTGTTGGTTTATTATTTGCTTCCCTGTCAGGAAAAACAAAACAACCTTATAAAAAGGTTTTGTGACTACTTAGAAATCAGATTTTTAGGTGTTTCTTTGTAAGTTTCTTCTATTTGTAGTATCTAACTGGACTGGGAATTCAGTTCTGCTTTATAAAAATGAGAAGATTTGTTTTAATTTTTTTTAATGTTGCGTTTTTAAGAGAATAAGAGGAGAAGTAAACCCCAAAAACACAGAAGGCTAAAGACTGATTTTCAGAAAACCCTTACAAATGAACATTTTTTAAAGAACTGGGATATTTAATATGAAATTTATATGTTTACAATGCTGCGTTGCTGATCCTGTCCATTTCCCCAAGTACCATTAAACTTGGCTAACACCAAAAAGTCTTTTGTGAGAAGTTTATCTATGACAGCAGGTAAGCAAAATGAGTTCCATCTCTAGGACAATATGATGGAAGAGGGGCAGCTTGAACAGGGTACCAAAATGACTCATAAGCTGACCTACTTTGAAAGAGGCAAAAATCTCAAATAGGACATTCCTTCTTGCACTGGACTTTCCACTAAACATTAAATAAAGATTGAATCCAATCTTCCTTAGATTTTAAGAGGCAGTTGACAGTTGAGCATTAGTTAGCTGTAGAAAAGAATGAAGAAGTGTCTATGATTGTTCAAATGCAGTTGAGTAGTAGAGAAGTAAGTTAGTAGGTTTGCAACAAAACAAAACAAGACAACTAAAATATATACTTGGAAGACACTTGTTTGTATTAACCTTTTGGGAAGCTGCTAAAATTAACATTAAGAATGATTCAGTTTATACTACACAGAAAGGAAAAAACAAATTTGGAACTAAAAATGGTTTCATGCATTTAACTTATCTTTAAATTTAAAAGTTTACATGTTATTTTTTAGGTTATATATGAATAAGACAGATGCTACTTGTGAGCTCTGGGTGTTCAAAGAAAATAGCTGGTAATCTACTTAGCTGAGGACAATAAGTTTTACCTTATGCTCAGAAAAATATCAGGAAGATATTTTTACCGATTTTACCAAAACAGCAGGATAAACTTCAAACTAATCTTTCTCTTTTAGCAAAACCACATATAGAAGTGAATGAATATAAAATCTTAATATAATTCCCTAGATTTGAAGAGCATCTTTCTTCCAAGAGCTTAAAGCAATTTGCTTTATGTTCTTATTCAGTCTAGAAACCCTTCTGTGATGAAGATATGCATTAGACAAATATATGCATAGACAAATATGTGTTTTTGCCCTCATTCTATGAATTAGAGAATTAATACTTGCTAGATTAAGACTGGTTGGCTTAAGATTACAAAACTAAATCCAGATCTCCTGGTTTCAGCGGCCAGGTCTCTTTCCAAAGACTTTATTTACACATTAAGCAATGCAGAAATCCCCTTTTCTCCCACTTGATTTCAGAGAATGACCTTGACTGCTTGTCAGGCAGATGCCATGCTGTCTTCTAAAAACTAGATTCTTTCTCCCTTCCATATTTCCATCCACGTGGAATGCCCTTTCTCCCTTTGATGTATTCAAATCCTTCCCTCAGGTCCCGCCTCATCTAAAACTTATCCTCTGACTAAAGAGGCTCAACTTCTGTTGGTTCAACCAAAAAAATGACTACATTCAACCAATGTGTTTAACCAACCATAACCATGATTCTGGTATGGTAACAATATCAGCATATTTCAGAAGAAAGTACACCATTACGTTGTCTTCTTTGAGGACAGGGACCATGTCTTAGTCATTTCTGTTTACTCAGTCCCTACATAGGGCCAGAAATACAGTAGACAATGAGTGTAAATGCTTGCTGAGAGAAGGTTGTTGTATAGACAGTGTTGATGTATTATCCTTTCTGAATATTTATGGAATAGTTGAAATATAGAACAGCTATTATTATACACTTATGTTAATATGTTTAAATCACAGAGCACAATATCAATTCAGTTGATGGTAAATAAAGCTGGCAACTACCTCACAACCGCTGCTGGCTCCCTGCCCATCCTGCAATGTCTGTCAACTAGGTTATGATGGTTAAAGATGTGAGGAGTCTTTTTAGTTGTGCCCTCACCACAACACACCACTACTTAGTCTCTAGCTCCATTCCCTGGGGTTATCCCCCTTTTCCACTCTTTTGGTTATTCTCCACCAGCTGCTTGTATATTACCAAGTCCTCACTGGATTTGGAGCAGGGATACAAGAGTGGAGGCATGTGGTGGTAGATTGTAAGATGGCAGTTGAGGCATCTGCTTCGTCTTTCTGGCCATGATCATTTTTTCCTCCCTTTTCCAACATCTTCGACTCTTCTGAACTGTCAGACAGGAATTAGAGTTTTCCAGGTGGTTATGGGTTTTCTGTTTTACTGTACCATTTGATCTGTGGCTCTCTATGTACCTAAAAAGGAATCAGACACATAGTAGATGCTTGGTAAATACTAATTAATTCATCAGCCCCCAGGAAAGGGAGTTCAACAGAGGTACCTCTGAAATACCAGAAGGAAGAGCCAAGGTGACTGATGTTAATAAGAATTACTATTCATCCCCCAAATCAGCAATAGAATTGCTATTTCCAAAATCAATTCTTAACCAACATAAACCCAATCTAGCAAGCCATATTTCTATTTAGTTCAATTGCTGTCTATTCTACTCCTCTTAGAAGAATAAAAAATGCTTTTTAGTAGGAATCACAGAACCATAAACTTCCTACTTTTCCAGCTTCTTGGCTAACTGGAATAGGAAAACAGAAATGGTATTGCCATTAAAACTGAAGTTATGTAAGAGATACTGAGATCATCAAAAGCACTGGGATTCATTTATCTATGAATAATTAAGAATCAAGTTTAAAAAGTGTGTTTTAAAAGATGGCAGATCCCCAATAGCTTAGAAACTTCGGCACTTGCATTTTTAAAATTATGTTCATCAGTTTTATTACAAAAGGCAAAGCTTTCAAACTGAGAACTCATTGATTCTCTTACTCTTCCTTTTCACTGTTCATTAAAAAAAATAGGTGTGGGAGTCTCTCACCCATTTTTATGAACATTCTTTAACATTCATTGAACAATTCATGTATATGCTAAGCCTTGTTAGGGAGATAGCATTGGTTTTGCGTTTTCCACAGTCTTGCAAAGGCACCTTCTGAGACATTTGCTACTGTAATCCATAAATGGATCATGATTGTACCCTTTGTTTCACCTTAAGCCCAAAGCAGCTCAAGTTAAATGCCAGGCTTCCCTGAGTTACAAATTTAGGATCTCGCCCAGGTGCTTGCTCACAGGGTGCATTAGCCCGCTGCCCGGGTTGATTAGCACGCTCTCTCCAAGTAGTATATTGACTACCATGTGCACTTATCATTTATCATACTTATATTCATTTTATTCTTATCCCAATAACGACAGCTTTCATGTAAAATGAAAGGAGAAAATGCAATTAATATCTTCTCAGTACACCTTTCACATCATGCACAAGCACACGGGCTTCTGAATCAAACACGTGTCTTCTCTGAATTTGGGTTTTAGTCTCATTATTATTATTGCTCTCATTCAAAAATAATCTGAAGATAACCATTTGTTGTGTCTTCAGAAATGGTCAAGCAATAAAGCTGGCAGTGGGGTAGGGACAGCAAGGAAAGGGGATAGAGGTTTCTGATTTGTCAGTGAGGGGAAAAGCAATGACAATGGAAAATTAAGCCAGTCATCTGGCCTAAGACAATGCTTGTTTTCAAGCTTAATCATTGGAGAATATATCAGAGGTATGTATTCAGCTTTGGGGTCAAGTAATTTTGAAAGTCCATTTTGGTGTGGATAGCCAAGAGCCTTAACAAGTTTGAATGAAATCCAACAAGGGCAAACTCTTTTAAGTATGTATTCTATTGGTTCAGAAATAACAGGGTGGATGGCAGGTGGTAATGCAACTCCCCTCTCAGGAAATGTAAAATTAGAAATCTTCCTTACAGTTCTTCACCTGGAGCTGCAAAGACACTTTTGCATGTCCTGTCAATTTAATGACATTTTTCCTTCTTGCTATTGGGCATACAATGGTTAAACAGAAAACAAATTTTGAGCAGCTGCCACAAGTAGGGTGGGAAGGATGAGAAGATGTTTACTGGTGTTACTCAAGGAATGTCATGGTGTTTATAGTTAACAGTCCGTGAAGGATGCCTTTCCAACTGGAACTTGTTCAGGAGGGATCCTTTCTGTGGAAGGTTGTGGAACAAATCTCTCACTCTGGTCCGGGATGGCACAGAATGCTCAGGTTAGACACAGAGCTGCTGAGCACCTTATTTCCCTATAGAAATAAGATGACAAAGATTGCTACTTAAAATTAACTTGAGGCCACTGCATTCTTCATGATTTGCGAATAGCAAATAGCAGCACAAACAATGAAGCAAGGACATGACCAGTCAAAACACACAGAACACAGTCAAGAATGGTGTAGGAGGAATGTCAGCGATGCCGGAAAACTGAGAAGCTAGCTAGAAATCCACAAAATGGCTCTCATCAGTTCTTAGAGAGGAATATGAAAAATTAGTATGAGAAGCCCAAAGTATTACTTTTATAATTGCATATATTTATGCTTAATTTAATTCACAGTATAGTGAATAGAATTCTCCTTCCAGAGTGTGTGGTCAGACATGCCAAAGCTTTCTTTGGTTGTGTTCCTAATGCCCTCCATTTAGAGCAGGGTTTCTTAACCATAGCATGATGGATATTTTGGACCAGAAAATTCTTTTTGTGGGTGGAATGCCCTGTACATTGTAGGACGTTTAGCAGCATCCTAGGCCTCTACCCACTTTATGTCAGCACTAACCCCATGGGAGTGACAATAAAAACATCTCTAGACATTGCCAAATGTCCTGGGGAGGGAGGGATGCAGAGACTAGATTGCTCCCTTTGAGAACCACTGATTTAGAGGGATATATAAGCCTTATCTTATACTAAAGTCAAGCTTCTAGCCGACAGATTTGAAAATTGTCTAGTAGAAATATGGATGGAATCTTGGCAAGGTTTATTTCTGACTATACATGCTTCATGTAAAAGGCAGGGATTGATTTCAGCTAGAAGAGACATTTGTGCTAAGGAAGTTCTTTTTGCCTTCATGGAAAAACTAACCTACAAAATGTAAGGAGTTAAGGAACTGACTCAAGGATTTCCAGATGTCATCGGAGCTTGGCTCAAAGTAAACATTCCATCACTTATTTTAGGAAGGGATGAGTTTTTTTTAGTTTGTTTTTGGCTTTTTTTTTTTTTTTTTGGCTTCTCCATTTGCTGCCAGTTCAGTACAAAACCAATTGATATAAACCATTTTCAACTGCTTACCTACTTAAAGAGCATTTTTAAAACTCATTAACCCTCTAAGCATCTCCATTTGGTTATTTTTAGTTATCCATGGCCATGTAGGATTTCACTATTCCCCAATAAGGATAAAAACAAATTAAAAAAAAAATATCTCCAAAGACACTAGCCACTTCAGGAAGAGTTTATTAAATTAGCAGTTGAAGGGGTTCCCTGGTGGCGCAGTGGTTGAGAGTCCGCCTGCCGATGCAGGGGATACGGGTTCGTGCCCGGGTCCGGGAGGGTCCCACATGCCGCGGAGCGGCTGGGCCCGTGAGCCATGGCTGCGGATCCTGCGCGTCCGGAGCCTGTGCTCTGCAGCGGGAGAGGCCACAGCAGTGAGAGGCCCGCGTACCGCAAAAAAAAAAAAAAAAAAAAAAAAATTAGCAGTTAACACATCAGCACCTTGGAGGGTGGAAATGTCATGTGATAGATACCATCTCCAGCCTCTAAGACTCACCGTTTTTCAGCTCAGGTAAGTAATCAGTTGTGCAGGTATTTGCCCAAATTATTTAAAACTCTTGATTTCTAAATATTGAGAAGATCTGGTTCAAAACAGGTGGTCACATTGTTAGTGGTATTCATAGTTTGGGCAGTATTGCTAATTAACAGATTCATTTTGACCCTCAATTTTTTTCTTGGTTGTCAAGGAGGTAAGAGAAAAGCTGTTTTATAAGTACCTTTTATGGGCCAGGTGAGAAGTTGGCTGACAGAGTATACAGATTTTATGCACTTAGAATTACTCGAGGGATTAAAGTAGTCTTAGAGAAGAATGTGCATAATTTATATAATCTCAGAGGAAAGTCTTTTATATTCGCTTAGGGAGAGGCAAGGAACGGATGAACAGAGGTGATGGGCTTAGGGAACACCAGGAATCTGATATGACTGGAGCATTAGAGAGGTATGTGTGTGTGTGTGTGTGTGCATGTGTGTGTGTGAGTGTGTGTTCATTTGAGCTCTACACTTGGTAAGTATTCTGTTCATTGCATCTACCTATAACTTCAGAGATGTATCAAGGATGAATTTGTCTCTGTAATAGTCTTTCCACAACACTGATGAGTTGTCAGGGAAGATACACATTTGTAAGCCTATATTCTGGTCCACCCATTAGTCACTCAGCACAGGATTATTCTGCTACCATCAATGGTAAATTTAGTATCAAATTAGATAGTGTTAGATTGTCTTCTGGACCTGTAAACTGAACTTTTGTAGTAAATACATTTTTATCTAGACTTTGAACTACAAGCCAAAATTAAAGGTTTGGATTTTTTTGTTTGGTTTGGTTTTCTGTTTTTTGCTGTACAGCCCAAATTTCTCCCTATTTTACTCATATGTAAAAATCACAGCATTAAAAAACTGAGTGCTAGTTGCATAAGAAAATTTTGTATACAGAAATACCATAGATAATTATCATTCACTAAAATAATTTTAACAAAACTGATTAGCTTATTGATTGATAAAAATATTAATAAAATAAACAGGTAAGGGTGATTCAATTTTAATATCCCGTAGTGTAAGATTACCAACTGAGAAAATAATTATTCCCCTAAATAATGGTTTGTGTTCATGTTGTATATTTCTGCTGTTCTCCAATGTCCTCAATATTGGTCACTGCCAGAGGCAAGTGTTAGACAAGACAGACAAATGGTCTGATCTAGAATGGCAAATTCTATGTTTCCTTAATACAGTCTCCTGGAATGACAGCAGTTATGTATTTTTAAGTCGGCTCTTCCATTATGGCGATAAATGGTTATTTAAATACAGTCAGGTTCAAATTACACTAGTGGAAAATGCAGCAGGAAAAAGTATCAAAGACAAAGAACTTTTAAATAAATCTCATTTCTCCTCCCGCCATATGAGGTAATTTCCATGCCAGATGGCAGATGTTTTTGCTGGTACTTAAAAGAAGTAAAAATTAAATGGATCTCAAAACTTAATTGTTTTTAGTTTAAAAATGCTCTCCAAAAAATGGGAAGTTTAGAATGATCTCAAAAACTCAGGATCTTAATATATAATTTTAATTTGGGAAAAAATAGTCAACTCTTAAGTCATTCAATTTTTTTAGAGTCCATTATTGAATTTTGATATTATTTTTCAATTTAAAAGATGCCATTTTTTCTAGAAGGGATGGCCAAAAATCTTCAAAGGACTATATTTTAATGTGTAATGATTCAATCAGCTCTTTAAAACTGAGCAACAGATGACGTGTTTAGACACTGTTAATCATTGTCTGTATCAGTATAAATCAGAAAAGTTACCTATACAAGGCTGTTTTTTTTTTTTTGCGGTACGCGGGCCTCTCACTGCTGTGGCCTCTCCCGTTGCGGAGCACAGGCTCCGGACGCGCAGGCTTCAGCGGCCAAGGCTCACGCGCCCAGCCGCTCCGCGGCATGCGGGATCCTCCCGGACCGGGGCACGAACCCGTGTCCCCTGCATCGGCAGGCGGACTCTCAACCACTGTGCCACCAGGGAAGCCCCAAGGCTGTTTTTTTTATGATGAGGATCAACACAAGGCAAAAAACAGAGGATCTTCCCGAAACAAACAATTGCTACATGAGCAACTCCTGTTTACCCAGACGAAACCAATCAACTTACCAATGAGAAACCTCTTCTTGCCTTGAAAGCTTAGTATGATGGAGAAAAATTTTATTAATATAACATGTAAATTAATTGCTCAAAAAAGCAAACTTGACCTGGTTGTTATACAGAGACTTTTCTGTAAATACATTAACACTGATCAGAAATAAATCCTGTTTTCTTGATCTAAAATGCAGGATAAACGTTTTAGCAAATATTTCTGGAAATCCCAGCTGAAGGACAGCTCTAAGCCCAAATAACTCTAGCAGTCCTTTAAAACTTTTGTATTTGGAAAAATCCCCCAAACATTTCTTTTTGTACTATAAACAGTATAGAACAATGCCCAATTATGGGAAAATAATATTTAGATTAGTAAATTATAGTGAAACATTCTAATTATTAGTCGTAGGAACTAGAAAATCTGTAATATTCTTGAACTTCTGAATTCTGAACAATTAAGTCAACAAACCTCAACTGAGCCCCAGTGATGAGTTTCCTGTTTTACTATGTATAGAAATATAATTTCTGTGTAAGCAGAAACATGAAACAATCCCTATCTTCAATTCGTTTACAGTCTTTTTGGTGAAGACCTGGAGGCTTTTAGAAAAAGAAGATATTTTAATTAACCAAGGCTAGTTTCAGCTTCAGTTTTTGTTCTTTTACAAAGCCTAAAATACATTCCTGTTGAATTTATTTGAGGCAGAGTTACAAATTGCACAACCAACAAAGGGTAGCTTACTCTGATTATCTGTGAGATGCTGACTTCTGAGGGCACAGCGCCACTCTACAAAGAAGACTTAAGCCTTGACAAGTTTTGCCCATAATTTACTCAAGAGCAGGCATCCTTAACACATCCTTGATGTTCTCCACTCTTCAGTAGGCCACAGACGCTCTCACAAGTCAAGCCAAGCTGCTTTCTTAGATTATCACAGTCCTAGTGGAGGATAATAAGTGGGTCCATGGATTCTAGAATGGCAGCTATGGAAAAGAGCATTTTGCATTTTTGTGAGTTAGAGTGCTAGCGAAGCTGCAGTAACAAAGCGACCACAGAATACAATCACTCAAATAAAATAGGACTCTAGCTTTCTCACATTTAACAGTGCAGAGATGGGGGAACTTACACACAGCTTTCCCCATCTAGATTCCTTCTGCTTTGTTTTCTACCATTTCTAAGTGTTGCTCATCTCGCATGGGTGAAGCAGGCTCACCACTACCCATGAAAATGTGAGAGAAGTAAAAGACAAGCAGTTTGATTGTTAAAGAAATGACCTAGACATTGAACATATTATCTAGCTGCTAGCAAGATTGAGAAATGTAGTCCCTAGCTAGACAGCCATGTGCCCTGCTAAAACTGGAGTTGGGAGCTAGGAAGGATTCTGTTCTTACAAAAAAGAAGGGGTGAATAGACACTGGGGGGGGCGGGGCAACTAGCAGTCTGTACCTTTAGCATTTAATAAATGGTTTATAAAATAATGCTTTTGATTAATCTTACTTCCAACAAATATTTCCTGAGTGCCTACTCTGTATACAGCACCGCACTAGGCTCCACAAAGAATTTTAACTATATACAGATTTTTACTCAAAAGAAACTCTTGATATTTGTAGAGACATAAGTTTTATACACTGAATACCACCAATAATATTATCGATAATGTTGCTAATAACGTAATATCGTAGGTGCTCAATCAGTGGTGCAGAAAATGTGTGATATTAGTATTCAGTGTTCCTTTCCTGAAAGGAAAACTAAAGGAAAAGGCAGCAGCCAGCTCATGGATGCCCATTCTTCTTTTGCACTTTTCACCTAATAATAACAAGGACCCAATACAAATAAGGTCATTTCAGTCTTCAAATAGTAAAATTATCTTTAAAAAATTATATATATATGAAGTTGTATATTTATGTATATATATATATGTATATAAACTGACCGAGGGCATGCTTATTTTTATTAATTTTGGCATAGAGATTACGCCTATACTACTCACCTTTTAGTTAAACAGCATCCATTCTTATTGTTAGTGAGGATGAATCAATCAACTGCATTCTCTAATGATGGAAGCAGATGGAAATAGAATGAGCTTCTGAATCTTCCTCAAGGGCATTGTAGAGAATGCTGCACCCTTAGCTGAAAATTGCTCAATTTCGCAATGGGGTTGGCCAATGTAGACATAGTCTTATATTTTCACTAATTTTGAATTAATACCCTAGAAACCAGCAGCTGACAATGAGCCTGAACAGTTGGTTTAACACCTGAGGCCTCTTTTAAGAGACCATTCTCATCACAGTCAAACAACAGGAGGATATATTAGAGGGGAAATGAGTGCATTTTCTCTAAGACCACTTAAGTAAGAGTTTCTCTTGAACTAATTAAGATTCAATTCTATTTCAGAAACTAATGTCTGAAGCAGACATTCTGTTTGGGAATAATTAACAAACGAAAGCAGAAGGTTCCAGATCACTCGAAATGGTACTTTTTTGCCTGGTGGATGTTCAATAAAAATGCTTGTTGAAAACAATTAAATAGAGAATAATATTTTAGACATAATAGCAAACGTTCGAGGTGAATGATTATGGTATATAAAATTATTAATAAGATCTAAGAACTTTTTTAAAGTGGAATAACGGACACCCTTGACCATTAAAAACATCCCTGATCCCTTCAACGTTAAGATTTCAGCTCTTACAGTTCTTAGGTATCTGAGGGGAACAAAAGACTGCAAGCTGACTGGTTTTATTTTTTCAGAATAGATTGTGTATAATATGAATTATCATTCCATTTCGAAAGGAAAAATATTTAAATACACATATAAAACTTACATTTTGGATGTGATGGTTCATGCACCCCAATTCAAAAAGATGAGCTGGTCTAAACCAGAAAAATGCTAACGTAGCATGGAGGGAGATATTTTTGCCTGGCAATTTCAATAAGCACTCAAAAGTTGTCTGAGTTGTACTTTGCAGTTCATATAATAAATTTCTACACATGTAAGCAGTAGGCCAGGAAGCACTGTCTTGCCTTTCACGTAATGCATCTTTCACAGAATCTTGAAGGGGGATGTTACATTTCTCTTCTAGTGATAATCATACCACGTGAGATTAGTGACTGCTAAAAGCCCTTAGATTTGTATTTTATATCATATGACAACCTCAAGTTTTTTTCAAATAAAGAACCCTCTCTGTGATGCTCCCTGTCATTTTATTTTAATAGCAGAAAGAGTCGTTCACCAAAGTCATCTGCCACCCACTACGACGTCTCAGTGTCACTCTGCCTTCTACAAGTTGCATAGAACTGGGATTATTGGGGGAGAAGTGGTAGTTATCAGTGCTACAAAATTGTGGGAAATGTGAAATCTTCAGGAAAAAAAGGGGAAACATCAAAATGTTCAATATTCAAGATTTCAGGGTAAGCGGGTTTTTAATACCTGACGCAAAAGAGAAGGTGTGTCAAGAGAAAGAAACATAGAGTTAATTGCTTAACTCCTCCTTTATCTCTGTTACCAGTTTCCATCTAGAGGAAACATACACCTAATTGGGATTCTTACAGTTTTGGGCAGTGGTTCATTCTGTCCCACGCTGATGTAAACAATATCCTCTGCTTTAACTGTCCTAGGAGACTCATTCTTCTTCTGTTCAAGTAGCTCACGTCTAATGACCTCAAAATAGCAATCTTTTCTTCTTCAGTGTAGTATCAAAACCTATCTTAAATCAAGGTTTATGAATTTAAGGTCCGATGACAAAAGTAAGCTATATTAGTCAAGTTTTAATAACGACATTCTCAAAAGTGTCAAAGTCCAATTACAAGTCAAGTCATTATGCTGTATACTTCACCTTATACGTACTGTATGTCAATTATATCTCAATAAAACTGGGAAAAAAATTTTTAAGTTCAATTACATACAGTCAAATCCTTCACTTTTCATCACACTCATTATGATTAACTTAGATAGCTATTTAAAGATGTCGGGTTTCTGTGAGAGGGATTGGGGGCAAAGATCCTGAACCATTCATAAATCTCTTTTTTCTTTTTCCAGGGCACAAAATTACACTACAGTTGCCAGCCTCCTTTGAGGTTCAGTATGGCCTTGTAAATTCTGGTCAACACGTGTGAGCAGAAATCAGAAATGGTGCATGTCTTTTAAAAAATGTAATAACTAGGGCTTCCCTGGTAGCGCAGTGGTTGAGAGTCTGCCTGCCGATGCAGGGGACACGGGTTCGTGCCCCGGTCCGGGAAGATCCCACATGCCGCGGAGCGGCTAGGCCCGTGAGCCATGGCCGCTGAGCCTGCGCGTCCGGAGCCTGTGCTCCGCAACGGGAGAGGCCACAGCGGTGAGAGGCCCGCGTACCGAAAAAAAAAAAAAAAGTAATAACTAGTAATCAGTTTATTATAAACATTCTTTTTTCTTTTTCTTTTAAATTTTATTGAAGTATAGTTGATTTACAATATTGTGTTAGTTTCAAGTGTACAGCAAAATGATTCATTTACACACACATATGTATGTACTCTTTTTCAGATTCTTTTCTATTACACGTTATTACAAGATATTGAATATAGTTCCCTGTGCTATAAAGTAAAAGCCTTTTGTTTGTCTATTTTATATATAGTAGTGTGTATCTGTTAACCCCATTTTCCTAACTTATCGTTCTTAAACATAGAAGCAATTGTCTTTAAGTATACACAAATATCTCCATTAAAATGAATTTTCAATTACCGGGGTGGGGGGGAGGGATAAACTGGGAGATTGGGATGGACATATACACACTACTATGTATAAAATAGATAACTAATAAGAGCCTACTGTATAGCACAGGGAACTCTACTCAATACTCTGTAATGGCCTATATGGGAAAAGAATCTAAAAAAGAGTGGATCTATGTATAACAGATTCACTTTGCTGTACAGCAGAAACTAACACAACATTGTAAATCAACTATAGTCCAATAAAACTTTTTTTAAAAATGAATTTTCATCCTTATATCCAGAGAGACCTAAATAGTTTAAAAACTGAGAACGCTTACAAACCAAAAGATACGAAAGAGAAAGGCTGAAAGGACTAAGGTTGAAGGGGTGAGGAGATGTAAAATTGGGAGCAAAGCCCATCACACTTTATGGTGTAAGAGCTCCAATTCATTTAAATATTAACCAGTTAAATTTAGATCTTAAAATACAAGATGTGGATAGAGTTGAATCTGGTTGATCATACTTTCCCATCAACTGCAGTTCCTTCAGAGTAAAATGAATAGAGAAACAGCTCCATGTATTCACCTTGCCTCTTATAAATTTTGAGTTCAAAGGATTCCACTTAAAAACAATCTCCTACTGGGTCAGTGGAGCTTTTCTTCCTTGTCTAAGCACACATCTTGTCACCACGCTCCACTTTGCCGTTATCCAAATTAAAGTCCAATAAGGAAAGCTTCTAGTCGCGCATCTAGGATACATCTGGAGCCCAGGTTGGTCACACATACACTGCTCTGCTAAGAGGTGATGTTGATGCAGGAGTACAGTATTTCGAGTTTGTTTTTCCAAGTGTGTAGAACACACAGCACTGCTGTATCAGGTAAACATGTGCACGGGAGAAAACGAGGCATGGGCTCAGAGAAAGCAGTCCAAGGGAAATCAAAAGGACTTTCTCTTTGAGAATTCCCCTGTCTTCGTTTGTAAGGTATCCAATAATTTAATTACATCACATATATAGCAGAGGACTGCTAAGATCTGGGCCGTGGAGGGGCCCCGAGATGGAAGGATCCTTGGTGTCAGTGCCAGCACATAAAGCCTCATACCAGTCAGGAACGTTGAACTGTCACTTGAGCAGAAAACACGTAACGATCATGTTCAGGGGCTGAGATGTTGAGGTTATTTGTCACAGTAATACCAGTGAGTACCTCTGTATAGGAATTCAGGGAAGACGGCCTGGTTCTTGAAGGCCTGCCTTCCCGTACTCTACGATGGAATTACAACAATTGATAGCTTGCTGATTTGCCCTTTAGCAAAACACACACAGCCCCTGCTTAATTATTTCACAGGAATCTTAGAGTTACATTTTTAATCATATAATTTTCTGAAACCATATCACCATAAAGGTGAAAGAAATCACTCTTTCACCAGAAGAACTACCGATTTTTCCAAAGGAAGAAAAACAACAGAAAAACTTTTCTCTAGTTGCTACCAGCCTAGGAGAAGAAGGAAGATAAATCATGGAAGCTTTTTCTATCTATGTCATTAGATATATTAAAGTGGGGAAAATAAAACCGTAATAGGAGAAATGTTCATTTGTGTTTCGACTGCATTGTGTTTCATGATAGTTACTATTAAGCATTCACTATATGCCAGACAGTATAGGAAGTGCTTTTACATAGATTCTTTTTTTTTTTTTTTTTTTGGTACGCAGGCCTCTCACTGTTGTGGCCTCTCCCATTGCGGAGCACAGGCTCCGGACGCGCAGGCTCAGCGGCCATGGCTCACGGGCCCAGCCGCTCCGCGGCATGTGGGATCTTCCCGGACCGGGGCACGAACCCGTGTCCCCTGCATCGGCAGGCGGACTCTCAACCACTGCGCCACCAGGGAAGCCCTACATAGATTCTTTTACATAAATCTCATGACCTATAAAGTTAGTAGTATTTTTATACCAACTTTACAGATGAAGCTCACAACCCCATAGTCAGTGATGAAACTGGCATTCGAACTTAAGCTAATTCATTGAAATAACTTATTATCCTCTTAGTTTCAGTTGTCCCCAAAGCAAACCCCACTTTATTTTGTTTTTTTCTCCCTATTACTTGATCACTTCTATTTTGTTTCACTATTACTTAATTATTCAATAGCCACTTGACCCATTTATCCTACATCATCTTCCTCTGAGTATTCTCTTAAATCTCTTCTACTGTGCAAGTAGGTCAAATAATCACCAACGCCATATGATTGAAGAGACACCAAGAAAGCTTCTTGCTTTATACTATCTCCATTAACAGCCTGACATAGAGCCTCAAAGTTACCTTTTCAGAGTGGTTTATTACGGTTAAGGGACTGTATCTATTAAAACACAAATGCCCCCATGAGTGTTCATTCATTTAATTATCCACTCAATAAACACTTGTTTTTTAAAAAGCCATTGCAGTTTAATCTGAAATTAGATATGAGATTATTTACCAATGACGGAGCTCAGAGAATAGTGATTAGAATTGATTAAGCTGGAGGTGATTAACAACAAAAACCACAACACCCAGAACATGACGCATTGCTCCAAAAAAGCTGACCTGAATTAGACACCATCATGGGAAGCACTGAGCAGTCTCAAGTAGCCTGGGACTGACGCACTCAAGATGAGATGAGAGTGCCTGGGAGGAAAAGAGATCACTGGAAGAGAGGAGAGAGATCTTAAAAGGAAAGTAGGGGTATGTGAGAGAAAATGTTTAGCAACTTTCCTTTGGCTCTAGACCCATCTGTGTTCTGGGTACCCCCCCTCAGCTCGCCCTCCATGAACTCTGACCCTCCAACCAAACACATGGCCTCTAGAGTTCCCTCAATTTCTGATTTCTTCAGCAGAAAATTGCCACGCCAGACTTTTCACTCACCATTTCATTGAACGATAAGAATAGCTCAAGTGGACGTTTAGTTTTTCATCCAGACCATTGCAAGGGGACACTATAAGAAACTGAGGCTATCCCAGGCAACCCATATATATGTTGTCCTACTAACAACTAACTTTTATTGAGAGCTCCTTCTGTACCAGGCACTATGTTAAATTCCTTACGTGGACTATTTCATTTAATCCCCACATCAACCTTACATATGAAGCGTCTTCCACTACTATCCTTATACCACTGAGGAAACTGAGATCTAGAGAGATTTAGTAACATTTCCAATCCATCTAGCCTTTTATTTCTATAACACAAGCGGTTAAAAACTGTAGCATTCAAATTCATAAACTATGCCTCTTCCATAGCCCCATGTGAACCATTATTCCTGTTTTAGATTGTTTAAGCAAAGCTCCCTTGTAGAATTTCCCCATAGAAAAGACATGACCCAAGGCCATATTCAAAGTAAAATTTCCTGCTGGGCTTTACGTATCTCATCAAGGTTCCCGAGGGCTAAAGACGTAGCTGAGAAGCTGAGTTCCAGAACTCTTTGAGATATTCTAGCAAAAACCTGCACCCCATTCGAAATCAGGTAAGATTCTCCACCTTACTCCATGGCTCTTGATCTGACATTCTCTTCCCATTTCTCCACCATTTCGGAGCTCAGTCTAATTAGAGGTTACTCAGTAAGGAAAATCCAAAAATAAAACTTGGCTCTGTGTACTATGGTTAAATTAATGTTAAATAATAAAAATCGGACAGAAAGCTTTTAATTCCACTTTCTTTCTCTGTCTACCGCATTGTGCCAAGTTAGAGGGTCCCGGGCAGCTGGTAATCCAAACACCCCAAAACTCACGGGATTAGCAGAAAGTTTCTTAGATGATGGTATTATTATCCTCACACTTCTTGAGGTGTAAAATTTCCAGGAGGTTGGGAATCCTCAAGAGTTTACTATTTATCATTTGATTAGGAAATGAATGGAAGAGACAAATAAGAACTGATTTCTTGAAGAATTGTCATAAAGTTTTAACAGATACAGTTTTAAGCATTTTATAATTTGATAATAATAGGTAGGCCAGAGTTGTTACCACAACTCAGTAGTGCTCTGGGTATAAAATACTGTCCCAAATGGCTTGGAACTGTTTAGATTTCTGTTTGAATTCCCAACTTTCTCTCTCTGGCCCAGCAGGATGGGTCATATAGCTTCCTTTAACAAGCCACTACTTACTACTGAACGTGGAGACTTCAAGATGTACTTAACCTTGATGGAGGGAAACACTGTATCTAATAAAAAGGAGTCAAAATTCCGAATTACTGCAAAGCACTGCAGCAGGCAAGCTGCAATTCCAGTCATA